ATTTTGATTCAAATCAACAATATTTCGGTTTATCACAAGAGGCATTACCTGTCAATGAACGATCGTCGTTGATTGCACATGATCACGATTTTATAGATAGTCCGAAAGAACACGATATCTATTTTACAAGACATTGTTCGAATAATTTATCAACTGTTTATCATCCTCTTTCAATTCCTCAACCAAAAACTGGTGATAATGATCATCTATTATCACGTTTCAATGGACTTTGGGTAGGACAGTATGATTATCATGGTCTTGAATTACTTTATTTGGAGCTTTGTCATGATTTTATATGTCCGACAACCGTCGATGGTATATCAAAAGATGTAGAAATTGTGCCACATGCTTTAGTTGCTAGAAAATTTTTCGGAGATCCTAATGTACCACATAGTAAAATTTCTTTTGCAGCTACACATCCTATTGAAGTTGATTCAGGTTCTTCAATATGTTATGAAGGCATTGGACAAAGTAAGAAACCTTATAAAGTAAAATTTTTTTTTTTTTATTTTTTAATTTTTTAGTTGCAAATACAGATTATATTGATGCGCAATTCATACGTACAAAAATAATTCTAATATCGGACGATGCATTAAAAGTTACTTGGTTTACTCTAAATAATACTTCATTGTTGAAAAGATGTTTATTTTAATTTATTCATATTCGTTGTTATACTATGATTGTAATAATTAATAATAAATGTGCAGAAAGTTACGTACTTTACTGTAGAGAGAAACACATTGGCGATGGCAAGTACTAGAAAAAAAAATGTTCATGCACCACCCACAAAGATCATTATAAAATAATACGACAATTGATATCGATAAAGAACAGGCTAAACTGAGAGTGGATGTGGAAAAAGCGTATACCGCAATCCACTCCGACATGCCAAGATTTTGTCTATTATTTTTTCAAGCAAGTACAATGGTGGATTCCCGTTTCGTCGAAAAATTTGGTACCCTTTTTTTTCATCACTCCCGTTTCGTCGAAAAATTAAACTGTCATGAAAAATAGTATAATCAGAGTGATAAACTAGATTTCTTTGATTGACTTAAACTATTTCCTTAAAAAGAAACTAATTGATATCCCTATACTAGTAATCTGTATTTTTGAAAAAGTATAAATATGAGGAGGAAAAGGAAAAATTCAATTTTTTTTTCTATATTCATTCATTATTACACAAAATGATGCTATTTATTGTTGAAAGTAAACGTAATATACCAAATTTAATACTTGATACTTTTCGCTACACAAAATCAAATTTTAAATACAACTGTTTATTGGAAATGTGAAAATCGTTCATAGGTGTTGTGGGTGGATGTGGAAGTTTTCTTCTTACACTCACATTCACTCTCATCATGTCTTTTAGCAACTGGTAATTACCTCCACGAAAAAATTTATCTGTAAAATCGAAATGTACGATTACATAAATTAAACGAACGTTTTAAACAACAAACATTAACGTTGAATAAATTTCTTGAAAAATTTCTGGGACTAATTGGAATAAAAAAGTGTTGGTTATTTTCTTTTCTATATTCATATATTCTCCTAATAATTAATCTATTATTTATGTATCTAAATCTGCTCTATAATAAAGTTTTTTTTGACAAACTGATCTACAAGTAAATAGACACTATTCCTGATTAGTATGATGAAAAATCTCATCAAATGATATAATCTATTCTTCGTTGATTAAGTAGAATTTATTTTTTCGACGAAACGGGAATGAAAGAAAAATAAATTTTCGACGAAACGGGACCTAATCAGTACAATGTGCTAGTACTAGACTTGCCAATTTCCAACGATAAAATCAATCAATCAATGAATAATAATTTTTTTCGCATTTTGTTTTTGAGTCTTGTTAAGGTGAATGAAACTAATAAACAAAACACACATGTGTAATGGCCCACTCATCCTTCTCTTCGTCGAGCTGCTTGCTGTACATACATACCTATTACTATGTGAGTAAATAGTTTGATAATCATAAAAAGCATTCATTCGTTTCATTTATAACTTTTCGTTCTTCTTCTCATTAAATGACGAGTACTCATGCATATATTTTCGTTCCTGTTCTTCATTTCTTATTTACCGAACAGAGATAGTTAGACGTCGTTACTTGGTCAGCACTCTTCAAATGAATAAATCAAAGTAGATTCTTCAATTGACAAACAAAACACATACACACAACTACACCAATCAACAAAAGAGAAATATCGACAAAAAACAGAAAACAATAATACATACATATAATTAGGACATAATTGTGCTTATTGTATCCATTCATCATGGACAAAAGGAAATCGTCGGCAACCGTTGCTAGTGGCTCATCCTCTTCCTCCACTACTAATAAATCCAATGAATCATCATCATTTTCGTATGCCGCTAGTGAACCAGTCGTGGCAGTTGACACCACTACCACAAATCAAGATGCCATGCTGTCCCAACGTGTCCATCGGGTTCTACAAAATTATCTTCTCGTATGGCTCGATGCTAATATGGATGAATCAAAGAAAGATTTTAAAAATGCATTGAAACGTCTCCGGCATATTGTAACATCAATTACAATCTTTACCAATGCCCGACAATGCATAGATTTTCTTCGTGAAATTAATAATGAAAAAGTATTCATGATTGTATCTGGCTCACTGGGACAACATATATTACCGACAATTCATGAATGGCCACAATTAGATTCCGTTTATGTCTTCTGTAGAAAGCAATCCGTTCATGAACAATGGGCCAAGACAATGTCAAAGGTAAAGGGTGTCCATAATCATGCCAAGTTAATTTGTGAAGCATTACAAATCGATCGTGAACGATGTGATCAAGCAATGATTTCAATGAGTTTTCATGGTAATGATGTATCGTTTATGTACACACAATTATTTAAGGAAGCTTTTTTGAAAATTGATTATGACGATACTAAATCCATCCAAGAACTTGTTGAGTATTGCCGTCTTCAAGATGATATTCCTGAAGACGAAATTAAAAAGATCGAACAAAACTATCGTGATCATACACCCATTTGGTGGTATACAGCTCCATATTTTATTTATTCGATGCTCAATCGAGGTCTTCGAATGCTTGATATCGATATTATACTCAAAATAGGCTTCTTCATTCGACATCTATATGAAGATATTGAAAAGCAACATCATGAACAACAATCAACATCAGCAAGAGCAACAAGTATATTTGAAGTGTATCGAGGTCAGGGTTTGTCTATTCAAGATTTCGAAAAAATGAAAATAACCAAAGGAGGACTTATGTCGTTTAACAACTTTCTTTCAACGAGTCGTAATCGGAATATTTCCCTGACGAAATTCGCACTTCCAGCAGCATGCGATCCTAATTCGGTAGGAATACTGTTTGTTATGACTATTGATCCAGCACTCTGTGCAACATCAACAGCTCCTTTTGCTGACGTCAAACACGTCGCCTATTTCAAAGAAAAAGATGAGATAATTCTTTTTTCGACACACACTATTTTCCGAATCGACGAGATTGAACCAATTCAAGACCAACATACCGATCGTCTCTGGCAAGTAAATCTCACTCTGACCAATGGTCAAGAAAATGATACGAATAATTTGATCGTGCAAATGCAGCAAGAGCTTTCTTCGCTAACAGGATGGTCCCGACTAGGTCAGATACTTATTAACGTAGGAGAGTCTGCAAAAGCCGAACAACTTTATCAACTCCTGTTGGAAAAATCATCTTCTCCTACAGAGCAAGCAGAATACAATAATCAACTTGGGATGATGTATAAAGAAATGCGTGACTTCTCTAGAGCATTGTCATTCTGCGAAAAAGCACTTGATATTAGGAAAAAATATCTTCCTACGAATCATCCTGACTTTCCTAAATCCTACATGTACATCGGGAATGTGTATACAAGCATGGGCGAATATTCGAAGGCGCTTTCATCGTTTGAAGAAGCACTTGGTATTCAAAAAAACTCTCTTCCTCCAGATCATCTTGACTTGGCTAAATCCTACATATATATAGGTAATATGTATTCTGCCATGAACGAGTACGCAAAAGCACTTTCATCGTTTGAAGAAGCACTTAGTATCCAGAAAAAAACTCTTCCACCGAATCATAATGATTTAACTGCTTCCTACAACAGCATCGGTCTGATGTATCATTGCGTGGGTGAATACTCGAAGGCACTTTCATCGTACGACGAAGCGCTTGATATCCAGAAAAAAACTCTACCATCGAATCATTATGATTTGGCTGTTTCCTACAACAGCATTGGTAATGTATATAATAGCATGGGCGAGTACGCGAAAGCAGTTTCATCGTACGAAGAAGCGCTTAATATCCAGAAAAAAACTCTTCTATGGAATCATCCTGATATGGTTATTTCCTATAACAACATCGGTATTATGTATCATTGTATGTACGAGTATGCGAAAGCACTTTCATCGTACCAAGAAGCGCTTGCGATAATGAAAAAATTTCTTCCTCCGAATCATCTTGACTTGGCTATATCCTACATAGACATCGGTAATGTATATGATAGCATGAACGAGTACACGAAAGCGCTTTCATGGCACGAAAAAGCACTTAATATTAAGAAAATATCTCTTTCACCAAATCATTCTGACTTGACTGCTTCATACAACAGCATCGGCATGATCTATCATGGCATGGGTGAGTACACGAAAGCACTATCGTCGTTAGAAAAAGCACTTGATATTCAACAAAAATCTCCCACTCCGACTCAATCTGATTTGGCTTTTACCTATCGCAACATGGGTTTTGTGTACTTGAACATGGACGAGTACCGGAAATCACTTTCTTGTTACGAAAGAGTACGGGATATATACGAGAAAACTCTGCCTCCTGATCATCCGCTCTTTTCTACGTCCTACAACGACATGTGTGAGGTGTATGAGAGGATGGGTAAATATTCGAAAGCACTTTCATTTCACAAAAAAGTGTTTCATGTGCAACAAAAAACAGTTCCTCCGAATCAAATCGACTTGATTAAATCTTATGGCAAAATGGGTTGGTTGTATGAGAGAATGGGTGAGTACGGGAAAGCGCTTGCATCGTACGAAAGTGCACTTGATATCCAACAAAAAACTCTTCCTTCGAACCATCCAGACTTGCCTTTTTCTTATGTCAATATTGGTTTAATGTATAAGAACTTAGAAGATAATCCAAAAGCACTTTTATTTTTTGAACAAGCACTTGATATGCAAAAGAAAACTTTGTCTCCAAACCATCCTGACTTGGCTATCTCTCAGAGCTGCATTGGAGGGATATATTATAAGATGGGAGAATATTCAAAAGCACTTTCGTTCTACGAGAAAGCACTTTATATTCAGCAGACAACTCTCCATCCAACAGATCCGAATATCTCACAAACAAAGGAAAACATTGAAATGGTTAAAAAAAAGTTGTAATTGATTTTGTTTTTTGCTAAAATAAGCTATATCGATTCTTTATCGATGTATGAGAAATTTTCTTGTCTATATAAAATTTTGATTCATGCTAATACTGCCCAACGAGAACCACGCACCGCGCTGGGTTAAAATGATTCACAATGTCGTGAATAGTTCAGCAACGATACAGTTCTGTACATGATACGTGTGCGATGATGTTAATAAGGGTGTGATTGTGCGGATATAGATCTCGATATTGGTGAGAGTGTGAGTATCTTTTCTTAATCCACATCTATACCTTTCTCTTGTATTTTCTCGTCACAATCAGTTTTGTGTGGAATCTGACACCATTATCGATAGTTTTAAGAAAGGATTTTTCTGAAAACATATTGTATGATATCTATTGTCTAAGAAGACAACAGAACGCTAAATATTTGTTTTGCGTTCTGCATGGCATCTACAAAATGACATGCAGGATAGAAGGGATTAAATTTACAAACATTTTTATCACTTTAGTTTCCACAATTTTTTCCAATGACATTGATAATGAATGAATATTATAAATATACAGCTGAGTTTTGATTTGTTTCATAGTAGTATTGATCAAGGAACAGAGTGGAACTTTGAAACATGTTAATGGTATTTTTCACAACGCTTCATAAAAGAAACAAACAATCGCAAGTTTCTCTTTTTTTCTCGAAACATAAACTTTGACCTGAATTGTTCCCATTATTATAAATACTTTTTTAAGTAACGCTTTCAATTTAAAATAATTGCAAAACCAAATAAAAACGAACAATTATTTCTTGCAGAAATCTATTAGAACTTTTTCAATTTTCAAATAAATCAATTTGAGTTGTGTGTCTTTTGAAAATTTCGAACTTTCTTAATTAATTATTTGATATTTTGCAATGTTTTTGTTTTTTGAGCGATAAATATAACAAGGATGAAAAAATTCAAAAAAGCATCATTTAAAAAATCCTAAAATAATATTTCATCATTTTTTAAGAATTTATTTGATATAAAAATCATGTCAACAAAGAAAAGTAACTATCCCTACAAATGAAAAAAGAATATTTTTCAAATGAACAAAAACTAATATTTGTAACATTGAAAAAAAAGATCTTTATTTAGATCGTTTATGAATAGATTTTTGTTGGTTTTTTTTTGTTTGAATTGATAATGAATATGTTATTATTAGATTTTTTATTTCAACTTCTAATTGATCATCGTTTTTTTTTTAATTCAAATAATTTTGTTCTATGTTAATACGATGCTTATGAAAAATATATTTTTCTCAAAGAATGATATAAATTAATGAAGACATGAAAAAATTAATTCAAATATATCAAGATATATTTTATTTTTGTCGCATACGGTGTGGGTGTGAGTATGAGTATGAATATGAGTATACTCTCTTTGAGCATCCACGCCCAAAAGAGAAAAAGAATTGACCTTATTCCAAGAAATTGTTGATTTAATACCGTATCTGTCAAAACTGGTTGCTATCGCTTCAAATGATCAACATCAGCTAACGAAATCACAGAGGAATGATGATAATCAATTTCTATTAGGTGATGCAGAAGAAATACCATACGAGTATTTACTTCACTTATTAATTTATCTTGAAAATGGTAGAAAAAATTATCAAAATTATTTGCAAAACTTCCAGAGCACAAAAATATTTTGACGTTGATTCAATTATATGATCGTCTAGATTTGTCGCTACCAGGATTCTGTATGCCTGAGTGGGCCATACACTTTCTAGATACAGACAAAGGTGATGTCGAATTTCTTATGAATTTAGCGTTAGACAAGCATGATATACGAAGTAAGAATGGTGGATCGATCAGTGATTGTATTCATAACATATTAATACGACCGAAAGTCTATAGACCATATTTGAGACATCATACAACTGTCATTGTCAAAACAAATTTTCCACAAGATATTCTATCTACGAAAGTAGTTCAATGGATGACACAAGTGAGTAAAGAAGAGGATATTGATAATGGCACAAATGGTGAATCAAGTCCTCAAACGCCACTGAAACTCATACTATCGATGAGTGGCGACGGCGATTACCTGTATGATATGGATTTCTATGATTATTGCGTCGCCTTACGAGAGGAATGGCAAGAGTATTACTGGAAAATCATGAATTTGGAATAAATTGACATAACTTATATAGACGTTGAGACTATGGTTCATTAGGACTCTGAGTATACTGGTTTTTTTAACGTTTTTTTATGGAACTAATATACAATGCTTGCCAAGCGACTCTTTCCCTTCCTCCTTTTGCTTTTCTTCACTAAGACTATTACAGTTTGTTTGTTTTTCAATAATCCGTATAGTGTGAAAGTACAGACATCACTGTGTCGCATGATATATTAATCATAAATAACAACTGAAATTCTCAGAAGAAAAAATTCATCAGAAAAAAGGATGTTGAATGCTTTTTTTGCTACAGGATGACCTACAAGTTACTAGATAAAAAAATCAGCATCTCGATTAAAGCAATTTATAGTCCAAGAGGACGACCATAGAGCAGCATTGAAATCATTCAAAAAACGATCGACTAGATAACTCTCATGACTTCTAAACAATTCAACTACATAAATAACACAGTCACAAATTTCTCCGCTTTCGATGGTACACTGTCCTTTTGTTCTCAATATAGTATAAAGAAAGTCAGCATTGATGCCTCATCAAAGTCGCATATCGTCAATACTCTCATGATATTTCTTATTTAATAAAAAAATCCATCCATACATAACAAGCTGCAACATGTTGAGAAACGGCAAACTGACATACACAGCTTTTCATTTGCTTTTAAAAAAAAAAAAGATTTGTCTATAAAATGGGCTTCAACTGTCATATCTGCCAAAGCCTATACAATGTGGAAATGTGTGGTGGTCTGGCAGTAATTTGCAATCAGAATAGAAACCATTGAGATCATCAATTGTCAAAGATAACGCTTACTTAGATCAAGCTGCTCGAACAGCAATTAGAAAATGGTCGGAATATAAACGAGAGATCAAAGTCGATAGATAAAAACGATTTGACACCGTTTAGATAGTAAGTACAAGTCATTGATGAGAGAAAATATGAAGAACTAAACGACGCATGGTTTGGCACTCTTACCATTGTTTTAGGTCAACACAAAGTAGATATAGTTGCCAACTTCTTATGTAACGAAGACAAACTTGTATAAGATACGAGTTTTACTAAACAAATCTAAATTAATTTTATGTTGTATTTATTTTAATACAATAGACTAGGAATTGTCAACAGTAGATTTCATCTTAAATCGATTTTTCGTCGCCTAGTTTTCTAATTAATATGCCATTATAGAAAATGTCAAAGCATCCATGTTCTAAAAACTAAAGATATGGTTTTTAACAAGAAAAACAATTCAAAGTATGAGACAGACAACAAGATAAAAGAATAATCACTGGAAAAGTATTTGGTATATGAGAAAAAAAACGGATGTGTAGAACATATTATTGTGTGTAACTTTAATAAATCAGCACAGCGAACTGTCTTTCTGTTTGAAGAAGAAAGAGAGAAAAATATGTTGTATCTGCTGGCAAATTTCACAAGCACTCTGTAATCACTGGATATTTTATAATAACGTAAAAAGAGACAATAAAAAAAAGTTATTTTTTTAAAATCCATACATAGAATATGCAAAAAGTTTGAGCAAGTATAGTCCATTTGCATACATGATATATGATATCTATTTAGTTTTATTTAACCTTTATTCTAGTTTCTTGATTTTTGCTATTTCATTAGTATTTGATGTTCTTTACATATTGAAAACAATGCAGGCATCTGTATCAAATACGACAAATGGTAGGTTGATATCATCTTATAAGAGATCGCGTTGGATGATTCTAGTGGTTTAAAGGTGTAGTAGTATTAATGCATCCTTTGACAAAGAAGAATTGTTTATCAATATTTTCGTTTTCTTGCTCTATTCTGTTAAATTTAGAAAATAACCTTTTATTAGATTTGACGTTGGACACTTGCAAATTTTCATAAGTACTTGATATATAAGGTAATTCCTGCCAAATAGCTCAAAGCTGTCCAAAGTACTTTCATAGGTATTGACCGATACAGACAAATTTAATTGAACAGAAAAGTGCAATGTCTTCATTGTCTATACACTTTTTCTAACTTGTTAACAAATGTTTGCTCTTTTGATTGCCTATAAGAGAATTGATTCGATCAGTTCATATTTCATGTGATCAAAGGATCCTCACTATAAACTGATATTTTTTGAAAAAAAACTATCGAACAAGTGTTTTAGTAAGATTTCTCTTGCAAAATTGATCTAGTTATGCGCTAAACTTGGTGACAAAGAAAATGTTGTAAGATAGTTCTAACTCGAAATCCTATTATTTGGGTTCCTGTCAAAATAATAAAAATGGGTTGTTTTAAAACTTGTAAGATATTACTCTATTTGTTTCTAATTATAGCCCTCGACACTACTATTATAGCTCAGATCAACGAATACATCAGAGCAGAGATGGAAAAACACAAGATTCCAGGCATTGCACTCGCTATAATTCAAGACGGGCAGATTATCTATGGTAAAGGTTACGGTTATTCGAACATTGAGCATCAAATTCCTGTCAAACTTGAAACTGTTTTCCAATCTGGTTCGATCGGCAAGCAATTTACGGCGATGGCTGTAATGATGCTGGTTGAAGATGGAAAGATTCAACTAGATGCCACAATTGACACATATTTCGCAGATGTACCAAATGAATGGAAGAATATCACTGTTCGACACCTCTTAACACACACTTCGGGAATGACTGATTATCCTCAAAATTTTAATTTTCGTACTGATTGTACCGAAGATGACATGTACACGCTGATTAAAACTATTCCACTGACATTTCAACCAGGTGAACAATGGGCTTACAGTAATCTTGGCTATGTGATGCTAGGAATTTTGATTCGTCGAGTAACCAATCAGTTTTATGGAGATTTTCTTAAGCAGTATGTTTTCAATCCTCTGAACATGACCACAGCACGAGTGATCAGTGAAGCGGATATTATTCTAAACCGTGCTGCTGGATATGTTCTCGTCAATAATGAACTGCAAAATCAGGCTTGGATTGCACCTTCATTGAACACTTTTGCTGATGGAGCTTTGTATCTCAACATTTACGATATGGCTAAATGGGATGCTGCACTTTATGGCGATAAACTACTCAAACATCAGGCAAGTTTCGATGAAATGTGGAATCCAATTCAATTGACCAATAATAAAACTTATCCATACGGTTTTGGTTGGAAATTATCAGAAACAATCAATGGAATGCGCATTGTTCAACATGGTGGCTCATGGCAAGGCTTTCGATCAATAATTATTCGACTTTTAGATGCGCAACTATCGGTTGTCCTTTTTTCCAATTTCGATCAGACAGATGTTGAAGAACTTGCTTCACACGTACTAAAAATTTACAATCCAGAACTGAGTGTTAAACCGAAGGAAGATAAAATACAATAGACTAAAATGAAAAGCAAGAACAGTATTACGTCTATTCGAAAATTTTCAAAAGAAATTAAAAGAAATATACTCAAAGATATACATGATAGAGTGTAATAATATTTTCATATTCCATTACATGAGACAATCTTTACCTGATGACAAAGGAGCTTAAAATCCATGAATCTATTAAGTCAAGATCTTCAAACGTTCACTTTTAGCACAATAAATTTGTTGAAGTTTGAATAACAAAACAAACTTTAAATATCGAGACTTCAATCAAAAAAATAATCCACACCCACACCCACACACTCAATTGTATTCTACATGGCGTCTACAAAATGACATGAGGGATTGAAGAGATTAAATTTGAAAAATTTTTTCATTGCTTCAATTCCCACAATTTTTTCCAATGACATTGATAATGAATGAATATTATAAATATACAGCTGAGTTTTCATTTGTTTCATAGTAATATTGATCAAAGAACAGAGTGGAACTTTGAAACATGTTAATGGTATTTTTCACAATGCTTTAAAAAAGAAACAAACAATCGCAAGTTTTCGTTATTCTCGAAACATAAACCTTGAGTTGAATTATTCCTATTATTGTAAATACTTTTCTAAGTAACACTTTCAATTTAAAATAATTACAAAAACAAATAAAAACGAACAATTATTTCTTGTAGAAATCTATTAGAACTTTTTCAATTTTCAAATAAATCAATTTGAGTTGTGTGTCTTTTGAAAATTTCGAACTTTCTTAATTAAGTATTTGATATTTTGCAATGTTTTTGTTTTTTGAGCGATAAATTTATAAAGAATGAAAAAATTCAAAAAAACATCATTTAAAAAATCCTAAAATAATATTTCATCATGTTTTAAGAATTTATTTGATATAAAAATCATGTCAACAAAGAAATGTAACTATCCCTACAAATGAAAAAAGAATATTTTTCAAATGAACAAAAACTAATATTTGTAACGTTAAAAAAAAAAGATCTTGATTTAGATCGTTTATGAATAAATTTTTGTTGGTTTTTTTTAATTTGAATTGATAATGAATATGTTATTACTAGTTTTTTTATTTCAATTTCTAATTGATTATCTTTCTTTTTTTTTTAATTCAAATAATTTATTTTTCATAAATAATAATGTAAATTAATGAAGTCATGATATTATTTAGTTCAAATAATATCAAGATATATTTAATTTTTGTAACATAAAATTTTTCTTCTCCTAAAATTCTTTGGCTAATTTCAAAAAAAATTCTATAACAATTATTGAGAAAATTTTCAATTATTTAAGTCAAAATAGTTTTCAAAGACTGTTTATATTCGATTCTGTTTAGACAAGAGAAAAAAATGTACTGAAAATTTCTAAATGCAAACGATATTTTTCGTATTTTAAGGATTAAAATTTTCTTAATTGTGAAACGAATGCATTTATCTTTTAGTAGTTATTCCTAAATGCCCTATGTGAATATTTTTTTTTATAAATTTATAAAAAACGAAGACGTAACGCTAGATGACATTTTTTCATCATGAAGAGTTGATATCAAAACGGCATGGAATGACTAAATCAACTATAAAAATCAATTGACATATCATATGCAAGATATTGCAGATGTTTACATGGTTCTGAAAAGAGCAGATACATACTCATTCCAATACTATGCTCAGGTCTTCAATCGCTCGTATGAACAAAAGACTAATAAGTGTTTTTCTAATGAATGACTTATTGAAATCGAACTGATGAGATGTCGAATCGATAGAGTTTGTCGATTTTAATCTGAAAGCATCATTAGTTTTGTTAGAATTAGCTTAGAAGTGAAGTATAATGGATTTTTCATTAATCTTAGCATATTTCATTTGCATTTTGCGTCTGAAAAGAAAGAGCCATGCTAGAAAAGCGGCTCAAGAAATCGATCGATGTTACTGAATGAGATATCCTATGTTCGTTTTCAATGTTCGGAATGATTGATCTAGGAGTAAAACCTAAGATTATGATCTCGTAAGATCATATAAATGATATATATGTAATTTAATCGATATTAAAGTGAATATTTATTAAAAATAAAAAGTTTGTTTGTTAATCATAGAAAAAAGAATCTTCATTATTCTGATTATTCAATTTTGGTATCATATGTTAACCATGCATTTTCATGTTAAAATCAATAATTCTCAATGTATATGGTAATCATTACATCTGCCACACTAATCTTTGTTTTTATTACCATCTATTGACAAAGTCAACAATCATTGATAAAAAAAATGCTATTCATTTATCAGTCAACAAAAATATTTCGAAAATTTTTATTTTTATTAATTAACTATTTTAAAATAAAAAATCTTCTAGATTATTTTATTGTTTTATATTTAGTTTCACGCCTAACTATAACAATCACATCAATTGTAGGCGGAAAATCAATATTAAACACATGTTTTAGCATTAAATTGTAGATCCTTAGAGAACACAATGTAATGACAATACTAATTCATCATCATTTAGAAATAACTTAAATATTCACGTTAGTTAAACATATCTCAAGAGAAATACTAGGATATTTTTTTTTCCTTCTTGGTAAATCATATTCGAAATAAATAAAAAAAAAAGGCAAAACGACATTAAGCAAACATACATTATCCATTGATATTCATTTTACTAGTATCTCTTATTCTACTTTGATCTTTGTCAGTATACTGGTACATTGACCGAATGTCACAAATAAATCTCTTATTGTAGTTATATACATTCCGACAAAATGATATAAACAAAACATGTCGACATACTAATCGTTCTAATGCAAACATACAAAACAGCAGTATTCCCATTGTGAACGTTTGATCTTCTCAGACACATCACTTAGCAACATTATTATTGTTCATATTCACAAAAGTTACACTTTTTCTTTTTTTTTTTTTTTTAATCCCATGAACTATCAATAACCGATCAATTATTATTGACAATGACAAAAAGAGATCACGCACTCACGCGTGTATGTTTTCTTTTTCTTTTTTTTTTCAATTATATACCTGCCATCTTCCATATGTGCTCATACACATATACCTACTCATCGATATCGTTCATTAACAGTCGATTTAGAAAAAGAATTGTCATCGATGCATCACATCAAGAGTACAATTTACTCATGCACGCCGTCTTCTGAACGATTTGCAATGAGGCACAAAACAGAATAGAAGAAACCGCAATAACATATATCGATCTAACGGAATGTATTTATAATTTGTTCAGGGTGTTAATTGGCCTTATTCTTTCTTTTGTCTTTTCATATAAACTTCAATTGAGTATGTTTTCTATGACGAGAAGAAAAGTCATCTTGTTTAAACGACACATACTTATATATACACCATCTGGAACCACTAAGTATCATAAAATGACATATAGACAGTAACAGCTACTTTGAATGACTCATTTTCATATATATATATATATTTTCTCAATATTTGCCCTAAGCAAAAATATACAAGAGACATGAAACTATCTTTATCAGTAATTTTTTTTTTTTCTTGCTTCATCCTTATTGATTATATGCTCATCAAATAGTGATTCATTTCTCACATGTCTACTTTCGTCCGCCTCATCATTTCAACCTAATTTTAATGTAAAAAAAAAAGAAATATGATACAAAAGAAGACCATCGATCATGTTCAACGATATGACGTCGAACGTAAGCAATCAATATAGTTCTCTTCAAGTGTATACTGTTTGTATTACGTGAATAAATGACATACGAAGCTACACACCTCATATCGTTCTATCTCTCATTCTCTTTCTCTTTCTTTTTTGTTATGATTATTATCATTCTATTTCCGACATATGCCAGCAGGCAAAACAGACAGCCAACTGTATTATAAAAGAGATAGACACATGAAAAGATTTTTCTTTCTTTTCTCTTTTCTTTTTTTTTTTTATTACTCAAACAACCAATTATTGATGAGAACGCATACTTTCCTATTGGTAGGTTTGTATAAGTGATAGTTTATTTTTTCTTCTACGCATTTACGTTTGCATCGACAATGAGCTGCTAGAGGGTGAGAAAAAAAAAGAATGTATATGGTGTAGTCGTAACTAGTAAAAGAAAAACTCAATCAAATTATGTCCTTCATTTGTATATATGTATCTTTCTTTTTCTTCGCTTGAATGAATATGTGCGTTTTTTTTTTTTTTTTTTGTAACTACCAATCAATAAATACTTTTCTCATCACTTACTCTCGCTCTCTCTCTCTCTCTTTCTTTTTTATTTGCTCTTTACTCAACAACGAACCGAGAGAGAAAAGAAGGAAGGACAAGACTCAATCACTTTTTATTCTTTTTTTTTTCATATTGAATGATTAAGTTTTATATTATCTACTAAATAATTATGTATCATCCATCGATATGGCATCCAATTGATATGGCTGCTGCATTTCGTTCAATACGTCAAACAACATTATCACCAAATACAAGTCCAGAAAAAAATTCTGTATCAGGTTTTAATGCATCATTTTCCGTAAATACACTTCTTAATAATCAATCTTCATCCGATCAAATACGTATACCATCAACATCAACATCAACATCAACACATCCACATCATCATCTATTTACAAGTCTTTTTCAACATTATCCATATGCAACTGCATTTCGTCCTTTATTTAATGGTACAACAAATTCAATATTAGAATCATCAGCATTTTTACCAGCTGGAAAACGTTTTAAAAATGATTCACATGATGAAAATCATTGTGAAATAACAACAAATAATGATGAAAGTTTTGGAAAACATACAGGTATGAAAATTAATTGAATACAAACACTTATGTCGTTTTTCATTTTGGTACCGATTGATCAAAGCACAAAATAAAACAAAATTCACCATATGAATCTAGTTGAAAATCTCACATTTAGTGAATATTTAAATTGTTTTAATTAACAGAAGACAAAAATTAATTTATTTGCCTATGAGAAATTAGTTTCCTCATCACAGTATCTTGTGAAAAATACACACAGGATGTTTCT